GTCCATCCATCTGTCTTTTAGTTTCACTTTTGAAATGGTTGTTCGAGGCGGCAAACTCCGGTCTTAACCTATGCCGCCATCTTGGTTCTCCTGATAACAGACTTTAATGAAGTATAATTTATATGCAGTAAAGTACACAATTCCTAAATGAATATTGCTCAGTACCATTTTGCATAGGATTCTTGTGTCCTCAATGCCAGTGGTCAATTTTAGAACTACAAACCTTGGGCATCATAAGTAATCTGCACTTAGGTGCGATCTGTCAATAAGAGTGAACTACTAGCATCTAATAGTGACACTGCGGGAGGAGCGCGATAGCGATCCCGGCTCTTTTGGCGAAAGATAGGAGGAGCGCGATTGTGCTCCCCGGCACTAAAAGGGTTAATCCCTGGTCTGGGGAGTGGCCAATGCCACTGTGGGATGAGGGCCTGGTGCCAGCTCTGCACCCCTTGGCTTGCAGGTGCCCATCAGAAGCGACTGATCCCCGTCAAGTACAAGGCAATGAAGAAAGAGTTCCCGAGCATCCTGCGGTTCATCACTGTCTGTGACTACACCAACCCCTGCACCAAGTCCTGGTTCTGGACTCGCCTTGCCAAAGCCCTGGCCCTGCCCTGAAGACTGCCCTGGTACCCTGGGTGTCCGTGTGTCTGTCTGCCTGTACATGTACTTCTGCCCCTGCCTCCCACTGAGGTTGTAGGGGGATGCCTTGAGATGCCAACTCCACAGGCACATCTGCAGCCACTGCACACTTCTGGACATCACATCTCATGTCCTGCGTGGAACCAGCGGCTGCCAGTGGATGTGCCGGCTGGGACTAAGAGGCGCCATCTCTGACCCATCCACACACCTTAGACCTCAGTTTCTCTGCCTGGTAATGCGTGGGGTGGGGAGAACAGACAGTAGCTGTGTTCGAATCACTGTGGGAAATGGTGGGGCCTTGTTCTGGGTCTCCTAGGGGAGCCAGATCTTGGCTGGGAGAGAGCTGGCCGCTGGAGCCCTAAGCTGGTTCCTGCCAGGGCAGTTGCTTTCACAATGGTGCCTACTCATTGCCCACCTCACACCTCACTTCCTCCTGCCCCACGGGGTAGATACTGGCCTAGCACAGAGATCCCGCCTTGGAGCCTGATTCCCCCATGGGCTCACCTCTGTCTGCCTCTTGGATTCCTCCCAGCCTCTTTCCACTTTCAGTGTGACAAGTCCTCGGAGCGGTTAGGGCTGCTTTTCACTTCAACCCATCCAGGTGCCTGTGGTCACCTCCTGCCTCTGCCTGGCAGAGGATGGGACCCACCAAGTTGGGTTCCGAGGCTCGATCGCCGTGGTGGGATAAGCAAGAAACCTTCCTCCCTGGGCCGCCCACAGAGCTTTCCCACCGACTTTTCGTACCTTGATTGCCTTACAAAGTTTTCCACTGGGACCAGTTTACAAACCACATAAGAGCCTCCTGCCCCAGATCTTGTGGGCACATGGACATACATACACATACATACAGGCAAACACACACATCATTTTCCCCACTTCAGTGGAACCAACCTCTAAACAGGACCAAATATGCCAGTATTATGCCCTCAGAGAAGCACAGAGCAGGGCAGAGAGCGGCCTGACCTCACACAGCCGGCCTGCGGCAGTCGGCTGTTGTCCTCTCTCTCTCTCCAGGGAATGTGTACAGCACTTAGTCTCAAGCTCTCCTTTGGGGAGAAGATATCATGGTCTCAGGTCCCTGTCCCAGAGCAGACCCCAGGACCCTAAATCTACTAGAAAGTGCGTGTCTTTGTTCCACCTCCAGCATGGCTGGCGCGGGGTCCCTGCCCTTGGGGTCTAGGGAGGGTCTGAAGGCCCCTCTCTGCACGATCGTGATGAAGCACTTAGCTCCATGCACCTATCCCCGCTTTGGTACTGGGGAGTATTTTTTAAAGATTTCCAGGAAGTAGTTCACACCTATTTTGTATGCGTTGCGAGAAATTCCAAGAGAGCTGAGAAATGTCTGTGTCATTTCTCCTGTATCCTGGGTTTTTAATAAAGAGTTTTCTATTTTGGGAACAGCAGGTTTCATTTGTGTCTGGGAGGCCTTTGGAAGCGGTAACCTGGGATAAGGCTGTCCTGGGTAAGAGAAACTGGCCCCTTGGGTAGATTCCTGTGGGTTTGTGAGTT